GCAGCTGCCTGCCCCACTGCCTGAGCCGCCGCGCACCGGAAGGCACAGCGGAAGGGGCGGGGCCTCCTTCCCTTCCCCACGTCTTCGCTTGCTCCGCCCCCTACCCGCTAGAGTTCCCAGGCGCTCCGCCTCCTCTAACCGCCTCCCTTAGAAGCGGGGTGGGCTGTTCGGAGGGGAGGGGAGAAGCAAGCCCCGCCCCGGGCAGCCAGCGGGCGGGCTGGGTCTGCGCATGCGCCTGGCTGCGGAAATGGCGGGTCACGTGCAGCGGGGGGAATAGGAGCAGCCCTGAGGTGGCGGGGGTGTGATGGAGAGCATCTGTGCCCCAAAGCTGGCAAAGAACCGTTTTTTCTAACTACTTATTTGGTCTAATAAAAGCCATCGCCTTTCCCTGGATAACCTGGTGTGCCTGTGTAAATATATGCATAGATGTGTGTGCATGTATGTGTGCACGTGGGTGTATACCCCGGCCTAATTCGTATCAGATGAAGTTTTCCAGCCAGGAGGTCTTCATCTATACCCTCCAGCTCTCCTGTGAAATACGAATTGGCATTTCTCCCTGGGAGAAGTTTTACAGTCTTTGCATTCTCTGGTGCCTAAAGGTGGGCAAGGGTGCCTGAAAGCTTGCAAATAAAGAAAAAAATTGCTTTTGCAACTGCCTACTGTGATACAAAACATTTTTTGTGTGTCACCATCATGGGCTTGCTTTCCATAGCAGGAGGATGCCTGCCAGGGGGTGATTGCCTTGAGGTTTAAGGTGGCAAAATCCAATTTGTGTTGCATGAGCTTTTCCACTGATGTGACAGATGGTGCCTTGAGGGCGGAGGACGGCTGTTGGCCAGGTTGTTTTGCGCTTTCCTTCCTCCTCTGCTGTTTCTCAGCCTCCTGAGCAAGACTTTAAAGTGGGCTGTAGCTTGAGTTGTGGTGCAGCGCATTGAGACCTCTTACCAGCCAGCACTCCCCAGTTTGCAGGGTTGATGCCACTAGGGTTGCCAACTCTTCAGGATTGCCCTGGAGTCTCTAGGAATTAGACGTAAATCTCCAGGAGACTGTTGAGAGTCACTTGGGAGATCAATAATAGGGTATTCATTAAAATAAATATTGAATGTTGAATCCAATGTACACAGTAGTCCAGTGGATTTTTTTAAATGCAATAGTCATGTGCATTTGTCTTCCTGACATACAAGTCTATACACCATAATCTGTCATGTGATGAAACCTCCCAAAATAGATTCAAACAAAGCTGGCAACCCTAAGTGCCACCACTCTTAAGACGGACAAGGTTCCCTGGGTGAATTTGATATCTTTTATTAGACCAACCCAAATAGTTGGAGAATAGTTAATAAGCAAGCTTTCGGGTTCAAAAACCCTTCGTCAGGCTAAGGAAGTTTCAGCAGTTGGTGTGTGCTCTTCCCGGATGGACTGAAAAGTAAACAAGCAGGGGCTGGGCTGGGGAGTCAGTTGCCAGGCAGATTATAATGTATCAAAAATCCAATGTCTATGTTTAGTCCATGATCTCTAGTTTCCAGCAGGTTGATGAAATGGAGCTCATAGGCTCATCTCTGGGAAGTGTTGTATAAGTTTCCCTTGAGGATCAGGACTGAGAGATTGGAGAGAGAGTGGCCCTCCTGTGAGAAATGTGCCCCCACCGGTAATTGGGT